TGGGGAGGGCTTGTGGGAGCAGAGGAGGAAGAAGAAGTGTATGATCGGTTTGGTTGGACTTTACCTACCTGCATGGCTAGGTCTGAGTTGCTCATGCCTCCGTCCACGGCTAGCTCGGTGAGGGGATAGCCGCTGTCTTTCTCCATGGCGGCGAGGATGGCTTTGGTTTGGAAGCAGGTGGCTTCGAGGATGGCGCGGGCGAGGTGGCCTTTCTGGGTGTATTGTGTTATTCCGACTGTCTGGTCTGTTAGTTGGGGGTGGGCTTCAAGGGTGAAGGGGGCGAGGGGTTGGTAGAGGTAGAGTGGAAGAGGTTATTATCTTACAGATAGTCCCTCGGGCATCATCGATCCAGTAGGGAGCAAAGAGGCCGCTGAAGGCAGTGACAAATACACAGCCCCCATTGTTCTCGACTGTCAACGCCAGACCGTTGACTTCTGCGGGCTCCTTGAAGAACTCCAGGTTGTTCTGGAGGAACTGGATCCCGGATCCACCGACTGCGATGCTCCCTTCCAGGGCGTATACCGGCTTCCCGTCGAAGTGATACGCCACGGTGGCCAGGAGACCGTGCGAGGAGATGACCGGGGTCTCGCCTACATTGCACAGAAGGAAGCAGCCCGTGCCGTAGGTGTTCTTGGCCGTTCCAGGCGAGAACCCCTTCTGGCCGACCAGCGCCGCCGATTGATCCCCCAGGCAGCCAGTGATCGGTGTGCCCGCTAGAGCGCCATGCGCGAGCGTCCCATAGGCCGTGGTGTCCGAAGAGCGGACTATCTTGGGCAGATGGATCCTGCCTTTGATGCCGAAGAAGTCCAGGAGATAGTCGTCGTATCTGAGGGTCTGCAGATTCATGAACATGGTTCGCGAGGCGTTGGTCGGGTCGGACACGAAGACGTTTCGTTTGGGACCTCCGTTGAGTCGGTACACCAGCCACGCATCGACGGTACCGAAAGCCAGCGTGCCCCTTTCGTAGCCTTTTTGGACTCTGGGGACGTTCTCAAGCATCCAGAGAAGCTTCGATGAGGATGAATAGGTGGACAGCGGGAGACCACAGATCTGCTGCAGTCGCGATGCCCCCGATTCTTGTTTGAGTCGATCCACAATATCTTGTGATCTGGTGTCTGTCCAGACGATTGCATTGTAGAGTGGTTCGCCGGTTTCTGAGTCCCAGACAATGGTGGTTTCGCGCTGGTTCGTGATGCCAACTGCTTTGATATCTGAGCGAGACAACCATCGGGCCTCGAGCTTGGTGACGGCTTCTTCTATGCATGTTTCCACGGAGGAGACTATCTCGAGCGGATCTTGCTCATGCCAACTAATTCTGCGTCAGTAATAGATAGTTTTTGTAAGGATATTGTTGTTGCCTCACCCTGGGTTTGGATAGATCTGTGTAAACTCGACTTGATGAGATACCACTAGCTCGCCAGCTTCGTTGAAAATGAGGAACCTGGTGCTAGTAGTTCCTTGATCGATTGAGCCAACAAATACATCTGGTCTGTCCATCTTGCTGGGAGGGATGAAAGTCTCGTTGGCGGTTGTTTGAGCACCAAGCTCTTGACATAAGTAATGAAATGTGGGTGGGTAGCTTCTGTAGTCATTGGGGATTCCTCCAAGAGCTCTTTGTGTTATATATCAAACGACATGGAGACCAGACCATTGAGGAGTTGGGGAAGTTGGCGGGGCAGTAACTGCATCAGACAAAGCACACTTGTACGACCCTAGTTTGTGACAGGGTGCTCATCGGCGGGGCATCTTGAGCAGTTCATATTCATTAGCGCATAGCTCAGACAGCCTGTTCAAGGGCTCAACCATTGACTTGCACCACATCCTCGCTCATAGAACGGTTTCAACATTGCGTGGGCTCCAGTCAGCTCTGGAGGTGGACAACGTTCCGAACACGAGAGCCAGATAGTTTGCCCAGTGCTGGTCTGTCTGCGGCAGGCTATGGCACCAGCAGAGATTGGGCCGGCTGTGCAATTCCCCCATTGAGCTTGGTCTTGTGATAGAGTGGCTTGGAGGCGTGGAGGCTTGGGGGCTTGGAGGGCTGTAGAAAGGATGATGAAATGGTGGTGAGAAGAAGGAGGGAGAGGAGGAAGAATGGAGAATAGCTTTGTACGCCAGTTGACCCTGCATCCACTGGCATACAACCAACTGCACTCCAGTCTCATGCATGGATGAATTCTAGAAGGCTTTGGTCTTGCTCAGCCAGTTCTTGACTACAGACTTTGATGCAGTGATCAAAACATGGTAGGTCACAAAACGTGAACGTTCTTGCATAAGTCTAATGCTGAGGACAGTGTCAATCTGATTCGAACAACCTCACATTACTAACACCGTGTCTCTCGCATGTGCTTCGCTATTTTAGCTCCTCACCATGCCCATGGGTTGCACAAGCGGTGTTCAGTTACTCAATGGACACAGGGGTGCTGTAGGACATGAGCAACTATCTAAATGTGCAAGTCTGTTCCTGTCGAGCTGATTGATCAATGATACCAGTCCAAGTCACGCCTATCAAATCAACTGTCGCCCCTTAAGCTCAATCAGCACCAGCAGTATCAGCAGGCTGCTGTTCAACTACCCTCATCCTATACGTCCATATCTCCGAGTGGCCAAAACGGGGCCGGGGAATGGATGTAAGTCTGTTGGCCAGGTTGGACAATCTGCACTCCTGAGAAAGAGATATACAGACTTATGATACCTATGGTAGACCTACCGTCCTTTTGTTTCACGCCATATCTCGCGCACCCGGATATCAAATTGGCGAGGAAGCCCGTTCCGGGGCAATCAAAACAAGCTATACTAACTATGGCGACGGCGAGAGAGTGAATGTGAAGGTCACACCATGGAGGATACCGACAACCAAGCTAGTAGCAGCATGTCCCACCACGTCTCTTGGACCTCTCCTTTGCTATATCTCGGCGATTTCTACTGGACCTGGGCCCTCTTGCTACATAAACACTTTTCCGTCCCCCTTCCGCCTCTGGCCTTCGAGATGGACAAAGTCTACTACTCATACATGGCGGACCCTGTCACCCAGAGCAGCATAACCCTAGCCAGTGCGAGCAAGAACCTCGAAGCCGCCGTTGATGGCCTCAACCAGATCGAGGGCGAGTCCACACCGACGTCAACCCAGCCTCGATGGAGCCGAATCCGACATGCCTTCCGCTATGCGTTCTCCGAGTTCTTCGGCACCATGATCATGATGCTCTTCGGTGACGGGGTGGTAGCGCAAGTGCTGCTCAGTGGGAAACAGAAAGGCGAGTATCAATCGATCACCTGGGGCTGGGGGTAAGCTTTTGTCGTTTTCATTTTACCCTCCGTGACACACACACCCACCACACCTCATCACCTCACCCCCATATTCTACCCACAGCTAACCACCCACCACCATCACAGCCTCGGGGTCATGCTCGGAGTCTACGTCTCCAGCCCCTCCGACTCGCACCTCAACCCCGCCGTCACCCTGGCCAGCTGCCTGCTCCGCCGCTTCCCCTGGCGCCGCTTCCCCCTCTACATCCTCTCGCAGGTGCTAGGCGCCATGTGCGGGGCCGCCATCGTCTATGCCAACTACCGCTCGGCCATCGACGCCTACGAGGGGGGGTCCACCATGCGCACCGTCCCCGGGTACTCCCCGACAGCCACCGCAGGCATCTTCAGCACCTATCCCGCCGCCTTCATGACGCGAACGGGCATGTTCTTCTCCGAGTTCCTCGCCAGCGCGATCCTGATGTTCGGGATCTTCGCCGTGAAGGATAACACCGAGCTCAAGCCGGACCGCACCGCCGCTCCACCACCACCACCGACACCAACAAACCCCCGTCTCCCCCTCATGATGCCCCTAGCAATGTTCTTCCTCATCTTCGGTATCGGCGCCTGCTTCGGCTGGGAAACAGGGTACGCGATCAACCTGGCCAGGGACTTTGGTCCGCGCCTCGTGACGTATATGATCGGGTACGGGCCCGAGGTCTGGAAGGCCGGCGGGCATTACTTCTGGGTGAGCTCCTTTCCCCTTTCAACCTCACATGACCCTTTTCCAAAGGCCAAAGCAGAGATAAATCCCCCACCCCGAACAACTCGCTAACGAGTAAAAATCGGGTCTAGATCCCAATGGTCGCCCCTTTCCTCGGCTGCGCCTTCGGCGGCTGGCTCTACGACGTCTTCATCTACACCGGCGCCGACAGCGTGGTCCACGACACCCCTCTGTTCGGTCTTGGGCGCTGCGTCACTCACCGCCGGTGGAAGGTCGAGGATTTCCGGCGTTGGTATCGGGGGAGGGGGAGTCCGGGCTTGGAGGATGCGCGGCAGGGGAGGAGTCCGGTGTGAGGCTTACGCTCATCACACACATACCAAGAAAAAAACATGAGGACGGGGGATCGGGGTCCGGATGCGGAGGGTTTGCCAGCGTTACTTGGTAAATGAAGATGAAAGTAAGCATGTGGATGGGGTTGGTGTTTTATGTTGGGATTGGGGTTGGGGTTGGGGTTGCGCAGGGTAGGCTACACTCTAGGTTGCTCTAGGGTCGCGCACCGGGCTTCTATCTTTGCAGAGAAGCGGTGGCCCGGGCTGGTTTGTGGGCTTGTGGGCTTGTGGGCTTGTTGGCTTGTTGTGGGGTTGTCGATCGTGGGCGCCCCGGGGGTGGCTTGGACTCGATAGTGATGGTCTGGAGAGAGTTAAGATGGTTGGAGTACTTTGTTAGAAGACGGCTTGTGTTGTCCCTCTCTCAGAAAAATAGTAAAGTGTCGTGTTCGTCGGGTCACATGGCAAAAAAAAGCTTGGCCGGCTTGCTTGGACGGTTTCCACAACAGTGATCTGCTGATCGCTTCCATAACAACTAGCTTGTGTACAGTCCTTCCGGTTGCAGCGTATCAAGTCTCATGGATGCCCTTTAGATGATAGTACTATCTAATATTGTCTAGGCCACGGGCTCTAAGTAGTGTGCTCTAAATCCAACAGTCTCGCCAGCTTGTTGGTGGCTTCCCCGATGACATTTCACATATCTAATAGAAAATATCAACAAGATCAAGCTGCGGAGAGGTCGTCGTTCATATAAATAGTAAGCAATTATTCATAAAGAGTCGTGCATCATTAGTCTTGGTTGTATCGTGTCGTATAAAGTCGCCTCGCAATGATCGTAAAAATGTAACATAACTCGTAAAGGTGTATCATTCGCAATAGATGGGCATGAATTAGCCCAGAGCCAGTGTTAACGAGATGAGCCCACAGATAGCAGCCATGGAAAGTGGAACGTCATAGGAACCGCGTCCTGCGTCGACGTCGGGTGCTATGTGGAGCGTCTCAGTCGGCGATACTTGTGTTGGTCGAGTCGATGATCCAGTTGAAGTAGTAGACTGGGTAGTTTTGATGGCTCTCGTGGTCATGGTGGAAGATGAAGAGGTTGTATGGCCATTGCTCAGACTGGTCTGGGATGTAACAGTAAAGCTGTGTGATGCAGAGCTGCTAACAATCGAACTAGCTGTCCTTGAGCCACTTGAAGTCGAGACGATTTGCGAGCCAGTCGGTATTGAACTAGTTGTTAATGAACTGGCTATGATCGAGCTGGTCATCATCGAGCTGGTCATCATCGAGCTGGTCATTGGGGGGCCGGTCAAATGCGTGCTAGTTTTCCTAGAACTGCTAAGCATCGCACTGCTTGTCACCGGGCTGGTCGTCATCGAGCTGGTCGTTTTCCAGTAGGACGTTGGAATGGTCTCCAGCGAGCTGATCCTCGTTGAGCTGGTTAAGCTGATCAAGCCGGTCAACGTCACACTAGTCCCCGTTGGACTGGCGATTGAGCTAGCCATTGAGCTGGTTCTAGAGACGAAGGGGGAGGATGAGGCCGGCACAGATGGCGAGCAGGCTGATGTAGACCGGGAGGAAGGCTGTTCATTGAGATGCGTCAACTACCGTTTAACAAGTCATCAAAGTTGTACTGGAGATGCTCACTCACGGAAGCCGCACTTGGCGGCTGAACCTGTCCTGAACTGGAATATGACCAACTACCAGTGTAGGCAGCGGCTGCCCCTGTGCCAGTAACCCAAGGCCAGACGTCGGGGGTCACATAACTCGAAGTCTCTCGATGGGTTCCAGGCCAAGGAATTGGAATGCTGACCGTCGCGGTTATGGTAGGTGCAGATTGAACGGAAGAAATTGTGTCCGCATTGATGTTGCCATTGATCTTGCCTCCATCCGAGGTAATTGACGTCCACAGTCCACTTTTGTCACTATACGTGTAAGAGGACCCTGTCGAGTAGTCGGTAACTTTGAGAGACTTCATGTACATCGTGTACGGCCCAGCGCTGTAGTCAGTCTCTCCACCAGCCCAGTCTACCAAAGGCGTTAGCAAAATGAAGATATCTTTGGGCACATTGCTAGTATATCTCACCGATAGTGCCCTGTGCGTTATTCGGGTCGCCTCCGGCCCAGATTCCCACTTTGACTACCATTGGCGACTGGGGATATTGGTTGGCATTAGCTGTTTCGGGGGTAAGCACCCGCACTGTCTTGCCGTCGATCTGCCAGACAATCTGCTCGTCGGTCCAATCGATGGTATACGTGTGGAACTCGTCGTGGTTGCTGGCGACGTCATGAGTCGCTCCGCGATTGTTTGGGGTGGTTGCTCCTTTTCCAAAGTAGTTGCTCTGCACCAGATTGTTGTTCCCACCGAGCCACTCCCAATCGATCTCATCTAGGTCGTCAGATTGCAATATGGCGCTGCTGACAATGCCGGTTCCGGGAGCCGCTTTGATCACATATTCAACACGTCCGAACATGATATACCATTTGGACTGGATAAGTGGGGCATCCCCCTCTTTAGCCACTGTGAACGCAACCCCATCATCACTATATGTTGGGGTACCCGTCGGCTCGAAGTCGGAAGAGCTTCCTTGGGTAAAGTCGAAAGATGCGGACTTTCCCAGTGCGGTGTCCGCAGGACATGCTGCCAAGAGTGGTTAACTTGTTTCTTCATAATTTGGGAGTAAATGAACGTACTGCTTTCCGTAGGATTGCAGCTAGTGTATGTCTGAGCCGTGGCCAGGCTCAAGTAGGAGAAGAGACCTACGACGGCCCCAAGTCGAGGGAGCTGCATAGCAAGAAGTATGTGTATTAGGCAGTCGGGCGAAAGTCAAGTGGCACGGAGACGAATTAAATCTCGATGAAGACAGAGTGTCTTAACGAGGGAGCCTGAAGGACTTGAGAGCCCTTGTGTAACCCGAATCGCTGTCAAACTGAGAAAATAAGGCGACGGAACAAGGTTGTGAAGTATTATTACTCCGTAGGTACTTAGTATACAATCAATCGATCACGGGCGGCCCACCACGTGTTGGAGAATTGACGAGAAAGTGCAGTTCGAAATGGGGGGAGGGGGAGAGGGGGGAGTAAAAGGGATTAAAGAATTGAGGTACTCACAGCCATGGCTCAGACGCAGGAACTAAAAAAGGACGGTGGAGAGAGTACCTAGTAGTGTGTTGGAAAAGTGAAGTATGAACCTTCTGAATCGTCCAGCCTCCTCGCTTTTCCACTCCGTATTTTACCCAATTGGGCAGGATGCTCTCTCATTGGCTTCCTCCGAGCGGCGGTCAAAGCATCCCCGAGTGACGCTGCCTTATGTAAGGCATCACCTTCACTCCAGCAACCCGAAATTAAATACTACACTATCAGATATGTTCAGGTAGTCTATACTGTATAAATCCCTGCTGTGGCCGCATTGTTGCTCAGCTGTACTCTACTGCACTCTACCGATGATAGAATCAACCAAATCCGACTGACTCTCTGACTTCATCTACACCGACAGGCATGCGCACACTTCAAGGTTCCAAGTTGTGTCATATGCAAACCGCTTTTCTAACAATAGCATCAAGCGCCACCCGCCGATTAAACTATTTTAGCACCGTCTGCCCGCCCCATTCCCAGCCTCCTCTTTTTTTGACCTGGTCCTGTCCATGCATGTATACTTCAAGGCACAAGATTGTGTTAGTGGCATGGTGACCTTGATCAAGGAATGACATGTTCATTGTTTACCTGCAAGCTTCGGCAGGTGTGGGGCAAGGTGCCTGGCAATCTGCCGTGCATGCAGTTGCAGCCAGAGTGACGCTCTACCCTCGTCTGATGCGATGCACTTTGCGTGGCCTTGGCAGTCGCACGCTGGCGCTAGCATGGCATTTCCGGTTTAGTTGATGTTGCTGATTTTTGCCTTGTCATTGCATCATCCTGTGTGACCTGCGGTCACCAAATAAAAGGTCTTTAAGTGAGGTTGTTATCTCGGACTAATATTGGCTTTGGATTCGACCTTGAGCGTAGTCAGCAGTCAGGCCAGCATCAAAATATACCAGCAGACTTGAGCTTTGCACTTTGTCTGCGTGGTGTGGTAACGATACAGCTCTGTACACTTGGCATGGGTTTTCGTACATCTGCAATCTGCATAGACTCGGGCGAGGAGACTAGACCTCGGAGTAACCTCGTTGTCTGGATCACAGGGCATAGACGCGTGTGGACGCCGATCACATTCAACCATGTTCCAAAACCCAGTACCGCTGTAGGTCTGCGAGTGAGCAAATATGCCACGTCTGTGGCGGAGGTTAAGCTTAAATTCGACCTTCTCTGGTCGAGTCTCTTGATTGTCTCGTCTTGGGTCATGCGAGTGACAATATGGTGCCTCGAGTATGGGCAATAGCCGAGAGTTGGGCTACAGTGAAGGGGGGGCGTATTGTGCCTGTAGTCAGTGCCTGGTAGGCGGTGGAGATGGGCACTCTCTTCAGTCGCACGGCGACATTGACCAGGTCTCCCGAAAACTGACATGGGCCACAATTTAGGCCCAATTACTCAGGGTGTATGGTATCCGACCAGCGGTTTCTCGTCGTTGACTTCCGGCTGAATGTGTTGGGCTCCTTTGAAGCAAAGGTGTTGCGAGGCTCGTTTTATTGGTACGCAGACTACCTGCTAGAGGCCTTTTCTGGGTGGTGTAGTCCAAAGGCTTCTGACACTTGAATCTTGTGGATTGAGTCTTTTGCATGTATTGAGATTCCACCTCTTGTGGGAGCCAGTGTCATCGCTAGCAGTCTTCCGGTCGGAAAAAAAGAAACCGCTGGGCCAGATCGGGGATGGCAAGTAGATGGGGGTCAAACAGGAATTGCAGTGAGACATGCTCGGGGATGAATGAAGAGAGTCAGAAGAAGGATGTAGGGACAGGTTGCTGGATACGCTGTAGGCAAAGAAGTAACATGGTGGGCGAATGAAGATGACGCAAAAAAAGGAAATCGCTAGCATGTCCTGGTTTCGATCCAGGGTCCTCCGGGTTATGAGCCCGGCGCTCTTCCCCTGAGCTAACATGCTTGATTGATGTCACTCTCGGTTTATTACTGCATTGGAAGCCTTGAACAGCAACATTGCATAATAATCTGCTCGACAATTTCCAGAACTATACTTTTTTGTTGTGCAAGTTGAGTGGTGTTTGTTTCGTCGGCTTGTTCTTCTATTGCCGTGGCATAGCTACCTTATTCACTATCTGTACCAGTGTGACTGTCAGCTGCTAGTCACGTATCCAATCTGCCTGATCATGTCAAATCAGTTGGTTAGTTTTCATTGTGACTCAACGCAATCAACGCAGGCAATGCCCTCGGTGCGATATCGTTGCGAGTTTATATACAGCGGCTCCGAGGTGGAAAAGCCACCACACGCAACGAGTGCACCCAGGCTGTAACATCGGCATGGCCACACCCTATATCAAGATGCCCATTGAGACCACTAAACCAAGTTGGGCCTGGGACGAGAGGCGCTTGATATGGACGTCGCTCTCTTTCCACCTTGGCAGACAGACAAGGCAAATATCAATGGTAATGATTGGCGACTCCCAACATACAGCTCTCTCGTTGCTTGCTACAAAAGACAGCATAATATCTCGAAGGCACAGCTATAGGCCCAATCAAAACAACAAAATGAAACATCAGATTTAAAGGGGTAGAGAACTTCTGTTGGTACTCAGCACGATGCAAAAACAAAAAGAAATTCTTTAGCATGTCCTGGTTTCGATCCAGGGTCCTCCGGGTTATGAGCCCGGCGCTCTTCCCCTGAGCTAACATGCTAGGATTGATGAAAGACACCTCAAACTATGTCACTATAAATCACGGACCGAATCTGGTCGTAACAATGCGAACAATATGCGCAGGGATCAATCTTACAACAATTCCGCCCCCCCCTCCCAAGGCTGCATACTCTGGTACCCTGCTCTGGCGAATTTTCCCTATCCGGACCATCAGAACGAAGCACAGGGAGACGCAATCATCGACCCGAATCACCCGAGATTGATCGAGATCGAGACGCGAAACAAAGGGAAGACACTCAAGGCGAATGCCCGAAATTTCCCCGCGATGGATTCCAGATCTGGATCTGGTGACTGTGATTGATGAGCAGCTAATATAGACACTGCACTAGTTACTAGGTAGACAGATTACCTTCACAGCTACTCCGTACTAAGCTATATATAGCTACTTCCACCATTTACACTTTGAAGGTCAAACACTCGTCAAATATCGTCCAAACATGAAACACCTGGCTCCTAGGCTAGTCTATCGTTCTTGGTCATTACTGATGCGAGCGAGGCAATAACCATGAGCATAGGTACCAGCAACATGTCCATGCCTGTAAAACGGAGTACAGAATCGAGCATGCACTGTGCATGGTCAAGGTGCAGATAACCGGCATCTGAGGTAGGATTTCCGTCAGGAAAGCACAGACTCGCCCACGGACCATGCAATCCCCGGAAACCACTCCCCTTTTCTAGCGACGTCGGTTGAGGACTGGTCGAGTTGTCAAAGTAACCAACTAAACACCTTAGATAATCGATCCCTTGTGCGCACTCGGAAGAGAAGTACTAAGTAAGTACTCCGTATACTAACTCTATTCCATGTGAAAAGTGAGAGAGTTCGGAAGATCAGTCGGATCTTGACATCATTACCAACGATCAAAATTTTGGAAGGTTCGAGTATGTAAAGTTCGTAGTACTGGATGTGTAGGAACTGTAGGATTTGTAGGAACAGGTGTGGTGTCCAGTTGTACTCAGTAAGTACTGTGCACTCATACGTAGCAAAGTGTTCAGTGTTCAGCAAGTCAAATTAGTAGTAGTCT